AAAAAAAAAAATATAGTGTTAAAGTAAACACATAATAATAAAAGCATAAAATAAACTTAGCCTACCCTTAATAATTTACTATTAGAGCAACTCCACCCATTTGCCCTTAGCCATGGCAAGGGGGGAGCTAGGTCAACCACTATTCACGTGAATAGTAGTTGCCCTTGCAAATAGTATTTTCTGTTTCCACCCGTTGCCATGGCAAAGGGCAATTACTATTCATTTTTTAATTTTTTTCACTACTTTTTTTACCACAATAATTAATTTGGATAATATTTTCGGATAAGATTTTCAGGTTCCTACGTGTCAATACTATTCATATCTCATAATCGGATAAAATTTTCAATTTCAAATTTCAGATAAATTAAAAAAAAAAGGCTGGTATTTATATAAAAAAATTTCCGAATTTTATTTTCAATGTTTTATTGCAAAAAAATTGGCTGCCGTTGGATTGGAGGAAAAAATCAGATCGGAGAGCCCAAACGACGCCACGTGGCAACAGGAAAAAAAAATCAGTGGGGTACTGTAGCAGGTACTGTAGCGACGACGTCATCAGCCCTCGTTTTGGACCTCAGGCTAAAGCTGCCTTTGGGCCAACCCTAGTTGGTGGGTCCCACACCTCCCCTGGGCCTGGGTTGTCCGCTAGAACAACTTTTTTTTTTCCCCCCTAGCCTTGGGCTAGGCTGTCCGCTAGAATCACTTTTATGTCACAAGGAAAGAAAAATTAGCCCACCTCGATATAAATACCTGATTTTGCCCACCTCAATATAAATATCAGGTGCCTCTCACCTTGTTATAAATATTTGGTTCCTCCCACCCGATACAACACATGTGTTTTTTAGTTTTTCTTCTCTCAAGCCAGCTAATTTCCCAACGTTTTCTTTGTTCTAATGAGCATAAAAAACCTTAACAAGAAAAATTTTAAAAGAAGCAAAAATGGACAAAAATGCCCTTATTTATTTTTAGATTTCCTAAGGAATCCAATACATTTGCATGTCTTTGATTTGAAAGTTGAGCGGTTTTTTTGTCTTTTTTGAAAAAGCTTTGGCTTTTTCCAAAAGCGAAAATTTTTTTATGTCTAAAACCTAAAAAACCTTAACAAGAATGATAAAGTAGTGAGTTGGTCAACCTTATATTGTACTTTATTCTAGAATTAAGGTCAGCCATGTTATTCCATTGCAGAAGATTACAACCCCAACCAGTGTGTCAAGGAAATATATAAGATGCCAACATTAAAACAAATAGAAGAAATATATATGATGTGATGTATGTCGAAGTCTCTAGTAACTAAATTGGCATATCCATTGACATAATGTGGTAAAGTGGCAGTGGAATTGTAAAAAACATGGGGATAAATGAATACTAGGGCAATCAAATCAAATTTGGCAAAAAGGACCTAGTTAAGCATGTGTAAAATGTTTAAACGGGTATAAGAGTGCGCTAACTGGCGGGACATTCTGGACGATTTAGATACACTCATCAACTCATATACAACTGATAAGGGAATGGGCCTTGTCTTGTGCATTCCAAGTAGACTTTTCCCCCAAAATACAAGCAATTTGGCTCTCATAATTTCCTTTTATATGTTTTGCAATTGGTAAGTTCGATCATTCTTTGCCTAATTAATTTGATGTTAATTACTCCGATGTGTGAGTCTATATATGTCACGTCTGCACACTAATGCTCCCATTACACACAAAAAATGACCGAAATAGATAAATTAGAATACTGGTCCAATTAAAATGGCCAATGATTTTGTTCACTAGGCTGCCCCACCAGCCACCAATCAGGAGGAGAAGATTGGTGGGATGGGGTTTATCTGAAGCCTTTTTCTATTGAGAAATCAATTAAAAACACATTAATTCTTTCTCTAAAGCCTTATTTTATTTTTTATTTTTAGAAATTCTGGAATTACATTTATAATTCAATCAAAAAAGTCATTAGCCATAAAGAGTCAATACAAACTAGCCACAAAAGGCCATTACAATAACGGAGCGATCTAACATTAAAATTAAGACAATTAGGTAGGAGTGGGCACGGTATGATATGGTATGGTATTGAGCTCGTACCGCTACCGATACCAGAAATTAAAACCGGTATGATACGGTATAGGATTATCGTTTGCCAAAGTTGATACCGTACCATACCGTGCCATATGATACGGTACGGTATCAGTACCATTTCGGTACCAAAATGACACAACTCAAAAATGAACCAATTCAATATTCAACATATTCATTCACCAAAATAAGTGATGCCTAAGTTACAGATTCAAAGATTCAACATATTCAATATCCAAATCCTAATAAACCAAATCAATATCCAAATCAACCAAATCTGTCAAAGCAAACGAATTCAATAAGAATGGAAACTATTAAAATAGTAACAAAGCAAACGTTGCATGCTTGGTTTATTTTTACATAATGATTCTTGTTCTTATCTATAAACTCTGTCGTAATACTCCTAATTTAAGTCCAATGTCGCTTGAGCAATGGCAATGATTTTGACAGAGAACTCATATTTGGAACTGGAGGGAGCCATATTTATTATATCAAAAAAGGTGATTCTGTTCATTAAAGACAAACCTCTTGTAATAAGAAGTATAAAATTTCAAATACCAGGTACACCTAAGTTGGACACTGATGGGGATCGGGGTCAGGACACAGGTCACCAACCACATACACGAGCACCGAAATCTAGGGCTAGTGCAAACTTACATATGTCGTAGCAAATCCATGCCACAAATAAACTATTTCATTAATCATCAATATTCCATCTTTTACAACAATTACAATTGTCTTATTTATAGGCTTTACAAGACTTGGGCACCAAGACTGCTTGGTCCAAAAGTAAACTAATTAATTATAACATCACACATAAATAATAAAAGATATCATAAAACTACCTAAATAAGAAAATAACAATATATCATGAAATAACTAATTAAATGATAAATATCTATCTTGATCCACCCCTATGCTCCTGCATCAGACACCCTAGCCATCTTATAATTAATTGATAGATCCATAAAGCAGCTAACAGATAGATTCCTCACACCATGACAAATGAAGAGCCATGTATATTTGTCATCAAGTGGAAAGTCTCTAACACAGTCATGATTATGATTATAGCTATAGAAAGACAACAGTTGTACAAACGTTCAGAATGAGGATAACTTGAGCTTTTGATTAGCAAGTGAGTAAAACTGAAAGCAAAACAAGGATATCAAGATGTTGAAACATGTAAAGCTCGTTCTTAAATTTTCGGTACGGTACGGTATTGATCGGTACCAAATACCTAATACCGCTACCATACCATACTCCATTGGTACGATATGGTACCGTACAGAATATCTCCTCATCCCAAATGAAATAGTATGAAATCGGTATGATTAGTGTATAGTTTCGGTATTTCGGCTTTAGATGCCCACCCCTACAATCAGGTGCGCCTCCACTCGAAGAAATTCTCACATAAGTATTTCAACTAAGATTGCAAACTCTTAATAATCAAAAAGAGATAAAGTTTGAAAAAATCAAGTCATAACAATACAAATAAAACTCTCATAAAGGAGAGATGAAAAGCTCTCACAAAGGAGAGGTGAAAAGCTCTCACAAAGGAGAGGTGAAAAATTATCACAAAACGAGAGGTGAAAACTACACAGAGAACCTAAAGAGTTTCTGCAACTTATTCCAAACATAAGGAAACTGCAAAAAGGATGGTAGTAGAGATCCGACTCCGAAATGCATGTGGAAATCCACGCTAAGATGCGGCTGCCTGTGATGGTTGGAGGAAGATCATAACAAAACGGGGGAATAGGATAAGGGAGGAAAGAAGAGGAGAGGGGGGAGAAAGAACAATGGGTTCCTTCCCCCTCAAAGTGAAAACGACTCTATGGGTGTTTTTTTTGGAAGAAAGGGGACTAGGGTTTCACACACCTCTCTTCTCTAAAGCCTTTCAAGCCACAATATTTGTACCATCTAATTTTTAGTCTATTGATATTTCTCTTTCAACTCTTAGAAGAAAATTTAAGTTTGAATTATCTTTCTTCCATGAAAAGGAAAGATCCTCTAAAGTGAGTCTCAAATAGTGACTTATATGTTGAATGCTTGACTTGGTCCACATATCTATTTTTCAATACGATAAATGGTCATTAAAGGCAGTAACAAAGTCGTCGGGAAATATAACTAATCTAAGAAAGTAATAACTAGTGCCTTCACACATGAATTTAAACCCTTATTGATGAATTGGATTTTTTCCGAGTTTGTTTTTGAACACGAATGTCCATGCCCTTTGAGCCTTTTTATAATAGTGGGGGTGTTATCTTTAACATTTTTCATTGTTCAGTTCAATGAACTCGTTAAACAAAGATTATAAAGAACAAGTGAAATGTATTTTTGTTTTCATTAAAGAGGGTTAAGCCGTGTTACCCGAATGAGAGGATGGATCGGTTATGTAGTCGGCAGTCAAAAGGGCAACCGACCCACATCCACTTACAATCCAAAACTTAAAACAACCCATGGATGGGTGCAAATGAAATTAGATAATTCCCAGAGCATTTCAGCCAAAATACAAAAATAAACTGCCACAAGAAAAGTCTGAGATAAGGAACAAAAAACAACATTGATCTTGTTCCATATCCAATCAAGAAGACAAAACATAAAACAAATTGCTTCCACTAAACAATGTTTAAAGGCAACAAAGCAACAACAATGTGTTTCCCATTTGACCATATCAATTAAAATAATTTATAAATGAAAAGGCATGTTACTTCCACAAGAGTCTGTCAAAAGAAATAAACACTGGCTCTATAAAATAATATTACCTTCATACTGAATTAAAATAACTTTTCTAGCAACAACCCCCTAATTTCTCAACATATCATTTACAACAGAATTGGTCTATCTCTCTTGAAGAAAGAAACGAAATTGTATAAAATTCCCATAACAGATATTACTAAGTTCTTATCAGAAAACCTACTCCAACTAGGTCAATGCTCATAATCATACTAATGAATTGTCACATTTGGCCTTTTGTAATGAACTCAAAGACTCATAAGCTTCATCAGCAGCGTCTTGATCATCAATAGTGAAAGTTCCTGTTAGCTCCTTGGCTCTCTGGGCTTGAAGTTCCCAATTGGTTCTAGCCAAAACAAACAACATGGTCACAACGCATGAGCCCTGAGCTGCCAAAAGACCAAGCCACAGTCCTCTAAAATCAAACCCTGCTAAAAAACCCAACCACACAGCAACAGGCATTCCCACAAGATAAAAGCAACCCAAATTTATATTTGCACCCAGCTTAGGCCTAGCAGTTCCCCTCAGAACACCACAACCTGTTGTTTGTGGACAGTTCCCAAGCTCACACAGGCCAATAATTGGCAACACCATTGATGTCAATGTAATAATTTCTGAGTCTTGGGTGTACATGCTTGCCCAAATGTTCCTCACAGTCACAGCAAACAGCAATGCTGAAAATCCCAGAATAAAGCTATAAGATAGGCCCACAATTGTTGCAAGTTTCGCTCTTTCGGGACGGTTTGCACCAAGTTCATTTCCCACCCTTGTTGACACACCAACGCTTAGAGAGGATGGGAAAATGTATATCAAACCTGTGGTTTGAATCAAGATTCCCATTGAAGCAACTGTTGCTTGAGGGTTAAGTAACAACCCACATAGCAAATCATGATCTCATACCACCACCATTCTAAACAAACTGAAATGCAGCTTGGAATTGCCAAATTCATGAGACTTTTCCACCCTTCGAAGCACTCTTTGGAGAAACCACCCCAAGTTTTCTTGTATACACCTGAGATTGCAATGTAAAAAATCAAAGATCCTACGAGATTGACATTAGTCCAAACCCCGCTTAACGCAACGCCTTTGATTCCGAGATTGAGAACACAAACAAGAAGGTAATTGATGGGAATGTGGAGAAGAATAGCCAGAGTTGCACAGAATGTGAGAGGCACAGTTATGGATTGGCTTCGCAGATAAATCCGCAGAGGGTGCAAAAGGCTTTGAGCAATGAGATCAGGAAGAGAATAAAAAATATAAGATTGGGCCTGAGTAGCAATATCATCTTGCTGGCCACAAGAAAGCAAAATTCTCTTCATGTTGAACCACAAAAGTGCAATGGGTATTGAAGTTAAGAGAAGCAAAATCACAGTTCTCTGCAGAGTGAGGCCTAAAAGTTTGAATCTTTTGGCTCCATAAGCTTGGCCGCAGATGGGTTCCATGCCCATGGCAAGGCCAGAGAGAACAGAGTACCCTGTGATGTTGGCAAAGCCAATAGCAAGCGAACCACCAGCCAAGGCAAGCTCTCCAAGGCGGCCAAGGAAGAGCATGGAGATCATTGTGCGTGAGTAGAGCAACAGGCCCGTTAAAACCATTGGAAAAGCTATGTTGGCTATGCATTTGGCTTCTATGAGAGCCAGAGACAGATGGGTTTTCTGGTTTTCTTGCTCAAGTTTTGGGTTTTCAGGGATCAAAGGAGCTAACTGGTCCATAGGTCTAGGTTCTAAGAGAGAGAGAGAGAGAGAGAGCGATCAGAGAGAGAGAGAGAGAAAGAGATTGTTAGTTCCATTGGGTATGTGTAGAAGAGTGTATGGGATTTTAAAGGCAAGGTTTTGAGGGGTTTATTGGAATCATTGGATTTGGTAAAAAAAAATTGAAGACTTTGTTTTGGACGGCTAATGTGAGATAAGACTTGGAGCTTATTATACAGCAAAAGTTTCAAACTGAAATTCTTGGCAGTTTCAAGCGTCTTTTTATGACCAAAATCATGGCACTGTTTGGGGCCTGCAGGCTCAACAGTACTTGCAAATTCCAAATGGACCGAAAGAAGTGAATGCGATGGCCACAATTAAAGGCCTAATTTCGTTTTCCTAATTAATACAAGTCAAAATTAATATTAATAAGTTATTTATTTATTTATTTCTATTTTATGATTCATTAAATGGTTCTGTATTAAAGAGGCATGAAGAACGTTTCTTATTGAAGATCCTTTTTGGTCAACACAATAGTGAGAAGGGTCGGGCAGTTTTCTGCCTATTTTTAAAGAGACAGACTTGACTTGCTGAGCATCTAAACTAGCTCTAAAACTTAAATAAACATCAATGGATGGAGCTATTCATAAATAACACAAACCCACATTGTTTAAAATCTCATTTGGTTGTAGGGTATACTCACAACAGTTCAAAGGGTTGTAAACATTCGGTGTTTTTATTTTCAAGGCCGGTAAAATGTATTTTGTTTCAACCGTAATTGCAAACTACATATGTTTTTTTGTCTTATAGAAGTGAGACTCACATATAATTCACTTTTTAAGTTTTTAAGTCTTATCGTTTGTTAGAGATGTGATCAATGATATAATCGAAGAATACGGTACAATGTCATTATTATATGTGACCACCATAAGCTAAGATGAATCGATTATAATATGATATCTACTATGAATATATGATGTGGCTGGATAAATAACAAAATTATTATCTCTAAAAATATATCAAAGCATGTAACAAATCAAAGATACATGCTTTGTAAAAATTCATATATTTTAAAATTTGGGAGGGGGGAAGGAGGGATGCGGCGTGCTCGCCTTAACTTAAAAGAGGATGTTACTTGTCTGATTAAATAAATTTAAAGAGGGGATGTTACTAGGTTATTTGTTTTTTTAATCAAGGGGATGTTACTAGTTAATGAAGAGAAAAGAGTGTTATGAAAGCGTAATAAGAATAAATCTATTTGTTTGGGGTTCAATGGCTAGGCTACATAAGGTAAATCTGTTTGGGGTTCAATGACCAGTAGTCTAGGCTACTGAAGGTACACCGATCTTCTCCCATGGCAACACTTGGCTAGAAGAGCCGAATATTTATCTTTCTTCGAATAATTTTAGAGTATGTAAATTTATTTATAAAATTTAGTCACCAAATGATGTGTTGCGATACATTTTGTAACATCTTGTGTTGATCCATCACTAAAATATTCTTTATCTACTTATTAGGATTTCGATAATGATCCGGCGACATTATAAAGTGTAAATAGAACATGTTAACAATTTATGTTAAATAATAAGGGTTTCATATTTTTAACTTGGGTTGGGCTGTGGCTATTTACATCAAACATAGATTGTTAAAATGTTCTATTTACTAGTCTCTTCACACGCGTGTTCGCGTCGGTGAGAGGCTTTTGTTTAGAAAATTTTAAATTTATTTTAGAATTAAAAAAGATAATGGGTAATTGTGTTCCATAAAAAAAAGGATCCATTATCTGATTTTTCTTTTTAATTTTAAATTTTTTTAATATGAAAAAGTGTGAATTTACCATATTCTCCTTATTTGATTAATAATTTCGATTCTTAATGTTTGCATCAACCAAAGACATTTTATGGTATTTTGAATGTTTCACCATTTTCTGCCTTTTTTCTTTATATATATAGATGAAATCCTACATGATATTTAAAAATAAAATAAAAATTCCCTCTAGGCTATACAACCCAATATGCACATACGTCCCTGCTTATTTGTATTTTACATATGAGTGAAGTGAAACTCAAAATAAATAAGTAAATCGATTACTGCAACCTTATTTATTAGTGAACAAAATTTGATAAACACATTATATTGATTTTTTCCATTGTATAAAAAAAGAAGTAGGTTTTTTCCCCATCTTCCATAATTATATTAACTTTTTCTTCAACCAATTATACTTTCTTAACTCTACCAACTTTTCAAAATACTATAATTTTCTTTTAACGTTTTTCAATAAAATAATAGGCCCCTAGATCAAACGTGTGAGCATTCTCCACAGAAAAAATTATCATGTGTGTGAGCCTCACATTTTCTTTTCTTAATCCCTGACGGCCAGTCAAATTAGGTGTCAGCAAGTCGACAAATTGTTATGGCATGCACAATTTTTGGTCTTTTTTTGAGGTTTGATTTTTAATAATATTCTATTTTATTTTAATTTAATTTAAATTACGGAAAGGGAGATTCGAACTCGGATACATGGCCTATTCATGTGTCTTAAGTACGACTTGGTATGTCTTAGAAGATTTATAGGTTTAAAAATCTAATTGAACTGTAAGTGAAGAATATAGTGACAATTGACGAAATTGTAGTTGTCCCAACTGAAAATGAATGAGCACCCAACTCTTTAAAATTTTTTTTTAAAAAAAGTGAATCTCAGGCTAAGGCAAAACTTGGGTCAGCTTAGCTTAATTGAAACCCCCCAAGTTCTAGTAGTAGCGGCCAACCATAAAATAAAAAACACACGCACACACCAATCCAATGTCAGTTAGGTTAGTTAGATAAGATTGTAACGAAAAATAAGACAGGACAGGACTATAAAATTCACAATCTCATGTTCATTAGATAATAAGATGAATTAATTAAGGATTTTCAACACAAAGAACACCCCTAATTATCTGCCTCCTAATCCTAGTTTAAGAGCCTAATCCATGCACTCTCCTTGATTAACGACCTGCCACAATATAAAATCAAATTGGAAACCGAACCCAGAATAAAAATCCCCAACGATGTTACATCAAACATAGATAATTATTATGCGTTACAATTGGAAGTACTAGGCGAAGGTTGTCTTCGGTGCATATGCTAATGCTAGCTAGGCATAGGTTGGGGGGTGCGGCGTTTAAACTTAAAAAATAAAAGGCCAGTGGGGGATGGTGAAGTCTAATTGGGCGGTGGCAATTGCTTTAGGGCAAAGCAAGGCATTACGCATAATGCATGCATTCCATTTTGCATGCCATTTCGAGTTGGAAGCATCGTCTTCGACTCTTCGACTCTTTGGCTTTGATGGGACATGAATTGGAATGGAGGGAACGTACATGGTCGGCACATTTATAGTAAAAGAAACTGGCCGACGCAATTTATGTACATATATATAGCAGAATAATTGTTGCATGCAATGACAAAGTCAAGAATTTGTTGACGTGTGAGTTTGTAGGGGAAGAAACTCATTATTAGTCACTGTGTTAGAGATCGATACTCTTTCTAGTCTTCTCTCTCCCAAAAAATACTCTACAACTCTTTTCACTTTGATCAATACTCTTGAATTTAAATTTTAAATCGAACATGTGTTATTTTTTAGTGAATTCAAAACAGCATTCATATGGTATGCTAGTGATGTTACCATGACATACAATTATTTTTCAGCGCATAATCCGGTGCGGTGTAAATAACATTATGCTTTTACAAGGATAACTAAGTTAACTACGGTTTGCACACGACACAATTTTGACTATAAGGACATTATTATTTATCGCCAAATAAATAAGTACGTAGGTGGTCCAATCCAAACTCCTAATGATGCGGGAAAGTGATTGTAGCTCGTACGTAAGCCACGAAATAGAACTCTTGGAAAATAAAAATTCAATCATAATTTCATTTTTTAAAAAAATAGAAAATTGTCATTTTACAAGCTTTTATTTCTAGTAGTTAAATTTAATATCGAGGCCCCGATAGCCAATTCTAGATTAGCGTGTATGTGTGGCTTATGTTTTGTACCCAATTGCTGTCAAGGCTTGTTGAGAGGCATGTATGTGGTCCAAGACTCCAACTTTGATAGAAAGACCATCTCAATCATATGCAAATCACATGCAGAGAAAAATCCAATAATCCATGTTCATATTGTCACTTGACCCAGAAAAAAATACACTTCTTGACTTGAGAGGGTTGGTAGAATGATCCCTCAATTTGACAAAAATTTTCATAAATAAATACTTGTTCAAAGTAAACACATATCAACAGGGTATTCACTGCTACATGAAATTAATGATAATGATTTCTAGAAGCCTTACTTTGTACTCCTTGGTATACCTGGCTGGGTCGGTTTTGTGGAATTTTCTCAGAGATTCAGTCGGCCATGTCAACAGTCGGTAATGTAAATGTAAATTTGTCCAGAGAAAAAAGAGAAGTCTCTCAACTGTCAATGGCGATTAATTTGGATTGTTATATAAAACATCATATGCATAATGCATATTCAACGTCATTTATTTGACCATTGTGACAGATCATTTTGTGGGGATTTTTCTTGCCGTATCTCTATGAATTGTTAAACCCTACTGTTAGGGGGCACTCTTCTTCCAATTTCTTCATGAGAATTGATCTGGCACGTAAAGCAGACTTAAATGTTGACCCATCAAGTTAATTCCTTCCAAAAAACTTAAGGGGGGTTGTATTCAATTATAACTTTTAAAGACTTTTTGTAAGCGACTGACTAACTTTCATAGAGTTGACAAATTCTTAATGACTTTTACATACTTTCTAAAGTTAGTGATATACAAAATTTTATATATACTTTCATATAGAGTTTTACATACTTTTATCTACTTTTTTTTAATATTTATTTTGTCAATAGTATTTATCTTTTAATATTTATCATAGAGTAGTATAACCACAGGAAATTGCTTCTAATATTTATCTCCAGCATTGATAAATTTTGGATGCAACAAGCGACGTGCAACCAACTAGATTGGAACTGCAGCCTCAGCCTCCCAGTATACAACCGGGCAAGAGTCCAATGCAGTGGGACTACAAGCAAACAGAAAACAGAACAACCAAATACAAAGAACATGAATACATATTGGAAAGCTAGGAAAGATGTTGCTTTAGAAAATCACAAAAACGTCACAAGCCAACCATAATCTGTATAAACCTAGTGCTACAGTGGGCAGGGGAGACCATCCTAAACAGTGGTGGTTTTATTGATAGTACACAGACCAAAGAAGGAGGGGGTCTAGAGACCGAAACACTTTTTAAATTCACAATTGGATACCACTAAACTTTTAAAGACTATTTAAAAGTCATAGTTGAATACCTCCAGACTTTTTAAAGTCATTAAAAAGTCCTTAAAAGTTATAATTGAATACACCCCAATGTGTTTTCCGTTTTTGATACATGTGATATTGGAGGAGAGAGAATTGAATCTATGACCTCGATTGCCATGCTAAATACTTGTAATCACTTGAGCTAAAAGCCACTTGCAATGTGTTTTCCACTTTAATGGGTAGTTTTGTAACTTTCATCCCTATCAGTTTGATAAAAGGCTCACAAAGGAGTTTTATTTGAGTGGTCTCGCCCTAAATTAAAATTTCTTATCATAATGAGTTTCAAAATGACTAGATATATATGAACCAATGAAATATTATCACATATGATCAATTGGGATAACATTAGTTGGAGATAAAGTTAACACCTCTAATAATATTCATGATTATCAAAATATGAAGATTTGAATCTAACATTCAAGTGGTTGAAATAAATTGGGCCTTCGGGTACACAATGCATAAACCTTATATAAGTTTGGGCATCTAGGGCACAATTGACAATTTGAAGATAAATCAATTTTAAAATAAATAAGTTTAATCCAATGAGACACATAAAAAAAGAATCCAATATCCAACAAACTTTCCAGACCGAAATCAAACATAAAAAGTTTAGAAAAATTTATAAAACATAGAGAAAATCTAAAATAAAAACAAAATTTAGGCACTCTGTCCTCCCTTGCCCGTGGCAATGCCTTCATCTTTAACCACATATTTCCGCCAAAATGGATGATTCTCCCACACAGTGTGCATTTCTTCAATTGGAACTCCTTTCCTTTCGGGCAACAATTTGTAGATGAAAATGCTCATCACCACCACACAGACTGAGAAGAAGAAGAACAAGCCAAACTTCATGTGGCAGAGCATGGCTGTGAAGACTTGGGCTATGGCAAAGGTGAAGATCATGTTGACGGAGACATTGATAGCCTGAGCAGCAGACCTTACTTCAAGTGGGAAAATTTCACTGGGCAACCATCCTAGAGGTCCCCATGACCAGGCAAATCCAGCAACGTAAACACAGATCAAGAGCACCAAGGGAACTGCAAACCCTAGTGTCAACTTTTCAGGGTTGCCGCTGACCCCAAATTTAACAGCCATAGCAATTCCAACAGCCACCTAAAAATGCCAACAGAAGGAAAAAAAAACCATGAAATTGTGATTTGTTTGTATGAAATTGAAGGAAGAAAACACTACTACAAAAAGTAAAAAGACGACGGTTTAACATAAAACCGTCGTTGTGTTTGAAAAAACGACGGTTTTATAAAACCGCAGTGTAAAATTAACTTAAACACCTAAAAAATGGGGATTCCAATGGTTGTTTTTAAAAAACGACACACCTAATTTAAAAAGCGACGTCTTATTGAAAAAGGTTTTCCTCAGAGTAAAATATGAGCCCACAAACAATAGCATAATGTATGAATAAACTGACGTACAAAGTAAAGGCGACGGTTTAAAGAAATAGCTGCCGTTTTTACTCCATAATAACCACGACCAAGTTTTCGTATCTCATGTCGCATAATTTCAAAAGAATCCACGATGGTAAATTACAAAATACCGCCGTCTTAAATAAATGTACAACGATGGCAAAAATAAATTTATCGACTTATTTCTTGTACCATACTACGATGGTATCTTTAACTCTAACCATGTTAGTTTGTTCAATTAACGCCATATAATAAAATTTACCACGTCGTGAAGTGAAAATTACCATCGTATTTATTTACTTTATACGTCTACCCTTATACCTAAATGGTTGTCTTAATTACATTATTTTTTACTAATTATTTCTTTGATTTTGGTATCCTACGACGGTAGACCAACTTAATGACAAGAATTGAGAATAACCATGACGGTTTATATAGAAAACCGTCAACAGAATAGATTTTTCTGAGATCCAAGAGATACGTCGTGAAGTTAAAATTACCGTTGTATTTATTCCGACCTTATATCTAAACCGTCGTCTTAATAGTAATTTTTTTAAAAAAATTTATTTCTTGGATTTTGTTATCCTCATTTGTAGATCAACTTAATGACAAAAATTGAGAATAACCACGACGGTTTATATAGAAAACAGCCGTCATAATCAAATCTGAGATCCCAAGAGTTACGAAATCTTACTAGATGGAACCCTGTTCCTCATCATAATCGGACCAGAGAAAGACAATATTTTAGAGGTTGATGACATATACAAAGGCATAACATCCAAAAATTTACCTCTAAAATTTTACGACGGCAACCACAGATTTGCATTTAGAAAGACAATTTTTTGGAAGTTGATGATGTGTGTGCATTTGTGTCTTTCAGATACACGAACACACACACACATCAACATCCAAGCAATTGCCTCTAAAATTTGACGACGGCAGCCACAGATTTGCACTTAGAGAGACAATATTTCAGAGATTGATGATGTATTGAGACACAAATACACACACATCAACATCCAAAAATTTGCCTCTAAAATTTGACGACGACAGCAACAGATTTGCATTCAGAGAGAAATTTTTTTGAACGTTGGTGATGTATGTATGTTTGTGAATCAGACACAAAAACATATACGCACACACCAACATCCAAACAATTGCCTCCTAAGAGGTGAGACAGAGGGCAAGAAGAAGTTGGAACCCTAATTGAAAACCGAAAATGAAAGAAATCGTGGAAAAAAACTCAATTTATAAAAAAAATTTAATATCCATGTCGGTTATATTAAACCTAACGCCGTTTAACAAAGGAATCCACGTCGGTTCTTGAAACATGGATGACGTATTAAACATACAAACAACGTCGGTGCTTAAACTAAAGGCAACAAGGTTTTAGAAAACCACGTCGGTTTCATATAAAAAAACGACGTGGGAACTTATAAAATCATTTATTCAAAAGTAAACTTTTGACGTGTAGCGCCCAACTAATCACGTCGTTTTCGGAATACAAAAAGTCGAAAGGCTTTTTACTAACCACATTGGTTTATATTATTTTAATGTTGTGGTAACAACATACTAGGGCAGTTTTTATGACCACCGTCGTTGTATTTATCTTTGGGACACTATATAAACTTTTTGGTCACCTGACCTAAACTTTTACGTTCTCTCTAAAATTTTCAGTTTTCTCTCAGTTTCCCTCTCAACTTCTACGTTCTTCCTTGTCTTTGTCTCCAAAATTTGATTCCGAAGGAAACTTTCTTTGCAAGCCAAAGGTTTGAAAACTTTCTCACTTCGTTTTTTTTCTTCATTTGAAGTTTTTTTATTTAAAGAACGAGTCTCACTGATGTTTGAAACAAGACTCAGGTTTAAAAATGCCAAATCTTTCAATGTTCGCACTTACAGGTCATGTGAGGACGACGGGTTTTTCTCGAATTTGACGTTTTTGTTGACACACCACGACGGTAATTAAATTCGTCTATTTCAATAGCACGGATGTTCATAATAACCGACGTGGTGTGTTAATAAATACGACGTTTGAAAGAAAAAACCGTCGTCTGACTTGAAACGAACTGGGAGAGAGAAAACTGGGCGGTTTTTTTATGAATTTATAATACGACGACGGTTTTATTTAATTACCGTCGTTTTAAGTTAATGACCACCTCGTATTAACACATCCACGTTTCTGTAGATTAGCACGACGGTTCTTCTTTTTTTTTCCGTCGTCTGAACTTTCATTTTACATCTGTATTTTACCTAACCGTCGTTGTTTTTCTTGTAGTTTGTTTTTCTCTGTAAGCATGGTTTCGAAATCTCAAAGTAAGGATTCTTAGGCAGGTCAAGGCAAGGACATTGCAGTTTCAAAGGCACAATCTCTTCCAAACAATCCCCCATAGAAGATGAGATTTACTTCATCTTCTGCGAAAGACCCAAGCTCTGCGACATTTGATGAAGTGACGAAATCTACTCGCAGTATCAACACAATGATCCATGTTGTGAAAAGGAAAATCCAGAAGATTAAGCCTGTGGTTGAGTACAATAAAAGTGGCATACCACATGGCAAGGCTGCTATTGAGATGCAGAGTTACATTAGTGTTTTGGCACGCACCAGAGTCCCTCTTGTGGACAAGAAATGGACTCAATTGCCCAAGGACCTAAATGAGCAGATTTGGGAAGCTGTTCAAATGGCTTATGTTGTTGGGGAAAGGGGCAAGAAGATGGTGCTGTCGTCTGTCGCCAAAATGTCGCCAAAAAATGGAAGGATTTTAAGTCTACCTTAACTAGGCAGTTTATCCTTCCATTCACAAATGAGAAGGAGAAGTTAAAAGAGCTCCCTCAGCTTTATAACTTCATAGAGAAATCTGAATGGGATGCCTTTGTAGCTTCAAGGTTATCCCCAGATTTTGAGGCTGTGCATTCTGAGCAGTCACAGAGAAGGGAGAAATGCGAGTACAACCATAAGTTGTCTCGAAAAGGGTACGTTGGTTTAGAGAAGGCAAAATTAATTGTAAGTTTCACTGACTCTGTTCTAAACTTGTAAAACAGAGGTTTTATTTTTCATTCAGATGTCGGTCTTGTAAATTTTGAACTTTCTTCATATTCACACGCACACACACTCTCTCTCCCTCTCTATTTCTCTGCAATTGGTTTGTACACTATTTATGGATCAGTGAATATTTTGGTTAAGTGTTTTTATCTATGATGTCAAATAAACGACGGTTATTTCATGGACCGACATTTTAATATATACAAAACGACGGTAGTTTTGGGATGATGTATTAAATTATTTTCTGCGTCTGTTTTTAAAATAAACCGTCGTTATAACCTTTTTACCACGTCAGTTAATATTTTTATTAATTTATTTATTTGATCAATTTTACTATCTGTTCACTCACTGACATTCTCTCTCTCTCTCTCTCTCTCTCTCTCTCTCTCTCTCTCTCTCTCTCTCTCTCTCTCACTTTTTGAAAAAAATCTCCGAGGGGACTCTGACTGTCTCTGGGAGCAATGATGTTTTGACCTTGGCTTTGGGAATCCCTAAGCATGGTGGAATAGTCAAAGGTGTTGGAGCTGGGGTTTCCCCAACTCAATTCTTCAATTTGCCGAGACAGTAGAGAGTAAAATTTGCTGACAAATTGAAGGAAAGTGTTATGGCAGCAGTGAGAAAGGAAACCAAAAAGATGGAGGCCAGGGCAAAGGAAAGTGTTATGGAGGCAGTCAGAGCAGAGAGGGAAATTATGTTGAAACAATTCAGTCAACTAATTCCCAACTTTGATCCCAACTTGCTTAGTAAAATTCCAACTACACCAACTACACCAATTACTCCAATTCCTCCGATTCCTCAAGAGCAAAGCCCAAAAAATCCAATGTCTGACAAAGCAAGCTGTTGTAATGTGAGAGCCCTTGAATTGGATGAAGACAATCCCACGAATGATGCTGATGCTGCTGAAAACCGTCAAGATCAAACAGTAAAATCTATGACATTTGTTTTTTCTGAATTTTAAATTTTAAATAGACGTCGGTGTTTATTTTAAAACCCGCCGTCTAGTTTAACCTAGACGACCTTTCTATTGTGTAGCGACGTTATAACGTTTACACAACGACTATTATGTATTTACCGTTGTCTATAACCTTTACCCCGTCAATATGTTCTAGAAACCGTCGTTGATATTATATACCACGTCGGTTTTGTTGATTTGTTGGAGTCGGTTATTTTACTTCATGAACACACTAACTTTTATTTCTTTATTTATTTCTTGTTACAGGATCTCTCAAAGCTTTACATGCCAGCTCCTCTGTTAGCCCTATGCCAATATGTCAAGACCAAGTTGAAGCCTGCTAACGAGACCATTAGAGTTCACATGCCTGAGGAAATGTTTGGCATTGATCATGAAACCTGGCTCTTGAGTGAAGACATTTTACAGTTTGCTTCCATGGTTGAGATTGGAGCCATAGTGATTGCAGTATACATGAGGTAATTCTAGAAATCCATTTTTTTTTTTACATTTTCTTTCTTTCAAATTAAAATCTCATTTAATTTAATTTCATATATTTAATTAGGTACCTATTTGACTATTTAAAAATGGCAAATATGGTAAACCTTTTTGGCCTTGTGAACCCTGGACAAGTCAGCTCTCAATCTGGAATGTTATCTCACTGCTCAAAACATCTCTCAGAAAGCCTGAAAAAGGCATATGGGGATCAATTTTACTTAGTGCCTTATAATCCAGGGTTAGTCCCCTTCTATACTTGGTTCCTTGTAATATATTTTTTTTGTAGTATATTTCATATATATATATGGATAATTTTGTGTAGGGGTCATTGGGTGTTAATAATTGTGAGACCAACTAAGGAGACTGTCTATTACATAAATTCATTGCCAAACCGCTCTGTTGATGAGGACATGAGAAATATACTGAATACGTAAGTTTATTAATGAAAACCTATTATTTTTTATGTCTGCATTTGATTGATACGACGGCTTTTTCAAATACCGATGTTGTAGTGAAAACACAACGACGGTATATTATAACCGACGTTTTCAATCATTTACAACGTCAGTATTTTCTTGAAACCGTCGTTTTAATTGAAATACCACATTGATTCTGTTTTTAATTTTATGACTTTTTAATTTTTTTATGTTAAACTTTCATTTAAAATTAACTTTGGTTATACTTCGTTTTTCTTCGTCACCGACATTAGAATGAAACACAACGACGGTTCTTATTTTCCGAAGTATTAAATAAACTACAACATCATTTGTTTTACAACACCGTCGTCTTCACTTATTTACCATGATGGTTAATAATTTTGATGCTGATTTTTAGTTTTGTCATTAACACTTTTTGTTTTCTTGAAACAGTTCAATCAAAATGTATAACTCTCACACAGGGAAACAATCATCACGTAAATCACCCATATGGAAAAATCTAAAAGGCACTCCTAGACAACCAACAAATGTAGAGTGTGGCTATTACGTGATGCGTTTCATAAGAGATATAATTAATGATCCAGGCCTAGCCTTTGAGAAGTAGGTAAAATTTAATATATAATTTCTTTATTTTAATACCACAACGTTTGCTTTGAAAACCGTCGTTTTATTACTTGTAACACATCGGTTTTGTTCTTTATTTGCAGTTTAACAAGAAAAAGGAACCAGTTATGTATACTCAAGAACATATTGACGAAGTCAGTCTGGAATGGGCAGACTTAGTGAACAAGCAATTACAAAACAATAATTGATAATGTACATTTATTTAAAAAATTTAAGGTTTATTTTAATTTTTGACAATGTATATAAACATATTTTTAGTAATTATTTGAACATTCATAAAAAAAATCAAATGAAATATAATGTTGTTTCAATTATTATTATTTTTTTGTATAAAATATAAATGTGGTAAAATGAACTAAAATGAAAATAAATCATAAAAATGTAAATTAATTCCCAAAACCCGACATCTCATTCATCTTTACACGTCTCTTATATATAAACCACTGCCGTCTTGTTATAGCGGGAAACAAAATATCGACGGCATTTCTAAGAAACGACATTTAAGATTGATATACACGTCGATTACTTTAAAAAACTGAAATCTACGAAAAAATTTGTAGATACATACAACGTCCGTTACAGGTTAAATGGTGACGTTGTATCCATAAACAACGTCGTCATCAGAATAGTAATAGACGTTGTAAATAACTAAACACAGCGGTTATTACATTGTGACGTTTAATGTTTAATAGGATGTCGTCATGAGTTACTTAAACAACGTCCGTTACATACAACGTCCGTTACATACGACGTTTAAGTTTGTAGATACATACAACGTCCGTTACAGGTTAAATGGTGACGTTGTATCCATAAACAACGTCGTCATCAGAATAGTAATAGACGTTGTAAATAACTAAACACAACGGTTATTACATTGCGACGTTTAATGTTTAATAGGATGTCGTCATGAGTTACTTAACGTCATTGTAAACTGATTAAACGTTGGTTATGTTCGTTTGTATTCAATTTTTGTATTTTATATTTTATTCCTAATATTCATAATAATTTCAAAACAAATTCCATAAAATAAACTGACAACTACTATGCACTCATTGGAAGATTTTATCTCCCCTAAATCTTTAAAAAATTTAAAGTTAAAATTATTTTTATTTGTATTTAATTACTAATATTAAAAAAATATCTGAAAAACAAACCGACAAATTCTATGCCTTAAAATTTTAATTTTAGATTTCAAAATTATAAGTGATAACAAAAGTCAAAATGATTTAGAGACAAAGCACAATAGTCATTATACTTTCCATAACATAACCTATGGTTTATGTGATCCATTGGTGGTCATAAAATTGAAAATTCTTTAATATAGATTTTAGCCTAATAATATAGAAGGCATTGTTGTAAGGAGTCCATAGCAATTTTCGGTTTATTTTTCTTATACTTGTTTTTTTTATTATTGTAAAATTTAGGGTTTAGGGTTTAGGGTTTAGGTTTTATTGAAATGACGCCGGTTTGTTCTCACTCTTTTTGGTCAATACGCGAGTTCGAATCCCAGGAAACGCACACCAAAGCTAATTTTTTAATATTTTAGACATCGGTTTTTGTATGGGCGACGTCAAAACACAATACAACGTCGTAAATGTAACATAACCGTCGTTGTAAATCTAAAATTAAACGACTACTGGGTTGTATTTACTGTCGTCTTTAATAAACGCAGTCCTTTGAAATTTTTGACTAGGATCTAAAATTTCCGAATTTCCATTTAACCCTAAAGTACTTCCTTCTCTCTCTTCAACGTAAATTTGTCTTAAAGTTTTCGCTCTCTCTCAAAGCATTAGGTATATTCTCTGAGCTCTCTCAAGCATTTGATATTTTCTCTCAGCTCTCTCTCAATATCCACGTAAGTATATTATCTCAGCTCTCTCTCAATATTCTCTTATTTGTTTGTATATATTATCTCAACACTCTCTCAATATTCTGTTAGTTTGTATATTCTCTTAGATCTCTCTAAATATTCTGTTAGTTTGTATATTCTCTCAGCTTTGGTTTCTTAATATGGGTTATTTTATGTTTTGGGACTTATGGGTTCTTGATTGGGAGCTATATATGGGTTCTTTTATGTTTTGATGTTTGCATTATGTTAAGGGTTCTTTGAAATGGAATGGGGATAGAAGAATTAGGCTTTGGTTTTTTGCAAACCACGATGACCGTTGGTTTCCACCAACCGCCGTCTAAATTTTTGTTATACATCGGCTTTTTATTTACTACCGTCGTCGTTGTTAGTCAACCATAACCCAGCCCTGTTCTTCAAAAAGAATACAAATATCTTGTTGTTTGCTTAAAGACGACGGTAAATAGACATACCGTCTTAATCTATGTTACACGATGATTATTTTGTAAAAACCGTCATCTGATTATTGTGCAATTTTTTTTTCTTTTTTCCCACTTTGTTCTCTTCACTGTCAATATAGTAGTGTTTCATTGCTGGTCTTTTCACTTTATTATATGTATGATTTTATATTATATGAGATGGATAAGTCATGGATGCATGCGGATAGAAGATCAAAGGCATATGAGTTAGGTGTGGAAGGATTTTTGAATTTTGCTGTAGAAAATCTTTTAAGTACAACTCATATTCGTTGTCCATGTGTTAAATGTGAAAATATTCAATTGTTTGGAGTTGGAATTATAAGGGACCACTTATACTTTAATGGAATTGACAAAAGCTATAAGGTTTGGACATGGCATGGAGAACCTTGGGAATGGACTACTAATACTAGTAGAAATGTGGAAGAAGACGAGCAATGTGGGTTCAGTTTTGTTTCTGAAGAAGTATGGATGGATGATAATGATTTAGGTGATATTGGATTTGATCCTTATGAGTTTGCCAATGTGATTGGGGATGGAGATCAACCTTTATACGCTGGTAGCAGTAAGTACACGATGTTGTAGCTTTGGTGAAGTTATAAAATTTGACAGCAAAACATAAGATGAGTGATGTATGTTTTACAGAATTATTGATACTTCAAGGATATTCGCTTCCAAAAGGGAATACACTACCTTCCTCTATGTACGAGGCCAAAAAGACATTGTCTGCTTTAAGGATGAGTTATGAGAAAATCCACGTATGTCCCAATGACTGCATCTTGTATAGGAAGGATAATGAAGATTCAACTAATTGTCCTACTTGTGGTGTCTCAAGGTGGAAGGAAGGTAAAGATTCAATCTTGAAAGAGGGTGTGCCAGCGAATGTGGTGTGGTATTTTCCTCAAATTCCAAAGTTTAAAAGGATGTTTCAATCACATAAGACAGCTAAGAGTTTGACTTGGCATGCTGCTAAAAAATCAATTGATGGTCAAATGTCTCATCCAGCAGATTCCCCGTCTTGGAAACTTTTTGATGATAAATGGCCCGAGTTTGGTAAAGAGCCGAGAAACTTGAGATTAGCTCTCTCATCTGATGGATTCAATCCCCACAGTTCTTTAAGTAGCAGATATAGTTGTTGGCCAGTTATCTTAGTTACATATAATCTCCCACCATAGCTATGCATGAAACGGAAGTTCATGATGTTGACCTTATTGATTTCCGGTCCTAAACAACCTGAAAATGATATAGACGTCTACTTAGAGCCTTTGATTGATGATTTAAAATCTCTGTGGGATGAGATTAGAGGAGTGTATGATGCACATATAGGAGAATACTTTATACTCAGAGGTGTATTATTATAAACAGTTAATGATTTTCCTGCCTATGAGAACTTATCTGGTTGTGTCGTCAAATGATATAAAGCTTGTCCAATATGCGGCGATGATACACCTAGTCACAGTTTGAAAAATGGCCACAAAATTTGTTACATTGGGCATAGAAAATGGTTACCAATCAGTCATCCATATCGGAGGCAGCGTGCAGCTTTTAATGGGAAACTTGAATATGGAACTCCTCTCGAGCCATTAAACGGAGAAGAAGTGTTGCACATTGTTGAAGATATTAATTACACATGAGGCTCGAAAAATGGGGGAAGTATTGGTGAGAATGATGGTGACAGAGTTTGTTGGAAGAAGAAATCAAAATTCTTTGATCTCGAGTATTGGAAATACCTTCATGTAAGGAATGTCCTAGATGTTATGCATATTGAGAAGAATATTTGCAATAGTATCATTGGTACATTGCTGGAGATCCCTGGAAAAAATAAAGATAGGATTGTTGCTCGGTTAGATTTATTGAACTTGGGGGTCAAAACTGATTTGCAACCCGAGTATGGACAAAGACGTACTCACTTGCCTTCGGGGCCTTGGAATTTTTCAAGAGCAGAGAAGAGAGCGGTTTGCAATTCTTTCTATGGTATAAAGGTCCCTGAAGGTTATTATTCAAATATAAAAAATCTTGTATCTTTAAAAGATTTAAGATTTCTTGGACTTAAATCTCATGATTGTCATACCTTGATGCAACAATTGCTCCCTGTGGCAATTCGTTCTGTTTTGGAGAAGCCTGCATTGTATGCAATAACTCGATTATGTTTTTTCTTCAATGCTATATGTGCAAAAACGGTAGATGTTTCCAAGCCGGATAAGTTGGAAGAAGATGTAGTAGTTACTTTGTGTTTGCTTGAGAAGTACTTTCCCCCTTCATTCTTTGATATCATGGTTCATCTAGTAGTACATCTTGTCAGAGAAGTTCGTCTATGTGGCCCAGTATATTTTAGATGGATGTATCCGTTTGAAAGGTATATGAAAGTGCTAAAAATGTATGTTCAGAACCGTAGTCGTCCGGAATGTTGCATTGCTGAGCAGTATATAGCTAAAGAAGCTGTAGAGTTTTGCACCGAGCATTTATCTGATGTTAATACAGTTGGAGTGCCTTCAAGCCAGAAGATGGGAGTTTCGAAGCCATTATCAGGTTGCACAGTAAGCTTAGTTGATCGGGACTTGTTAAACTAGGCACATTTATATGTCTTGGAGAATACGGAGGAAATCCTACCTTATATCGAGTACGTATGACTTTTATTTTTCATATAGAGCCATTTTAAATATTATTATTCCTTATGTTTATCTTATATACAAGGAATCATAATGCTTGATTTTTTTCGAGTCAATGTAGGGAACATATGATCCACATCAAGACCACTTATCCAAAATTTAGAAAGAGAACAAAGTGGCTGCAAGATAAGCACAATAACACTTTCATTCAATGACTCCACTTTAAGGTATATATATGTTATTGAATGACATGCATATTCAACTTTTAATTTTCTTTCATTCTATATGTTAGATTAAATTAAGGTATATATATGTTATTGAATGACATGCATATTCAACTTTTAATTTTCTTTCATTCTATATGTTAGATTAAATTAAGGTATATATGATTAATTTGCAGGTTCAAAGTGAACTTAATGGGGAAGAGCATAATGGCGTATCAGAAAATTTGAGGTGGCTAGCAGCTGGTCCAAGCATGGCAGTGCCATCATATAGGAGCTGTCTTATTAATGGTGTTAAATTTAACACCAAGGCATAAGATGATGTGCGAACTATCTAAAATAGTGGAGTTTATTTACTTGCACATACTATGCAAGTTGCTAGTGTCATGGATAAAAACCCTATTGTCTCCAATATGGGTTTTTATGGTGTTATTCAAGAAATTTGGGACCTTGACTACCAAAAGTTTAGAATCCTAGTCTTGAGGTGTGATTGGATAGATAACACTTCGGGCCTTGTAGTCGACGAACTTGGATTTACCCTTGTAGATATGAGTAAAATTGGATATAGGAATGACCAATTTGTTATGGCTTCTCAAGTCAAACAAGTATTTTATGTTGACGACCCAATGTATTGTGGTTGGTCAGTAGTATTATCAATGCCTAATAGAGAATATAATGATATTATTGGTGATGATGTGTTAGGTGATACTAGAATTGAGTGTGAGCCATTTACTAGAGGGATACCAAATGTTGACACATTTGATGACCTAGTGGGTGAGTTTGGGAATGAAAATATTAGAGATGGGTGTGAAGATATATGGATTGATTGATTGTTGTAATGTATGACCTTAGTTATTCAGTTAATTGTATGACATTAATTAATAATTATGTACAACATTTTAATTCTTATCACATTTTCATTATGCAGGCTTTGGGCATGACAAATAAAAAATAAAAAAAGCTGGGTTAAATCTGTAAAGTACGATGGTCAGGGAAAAAAATTGGAAACACAAACATCTAAGATAAAAACAACGTCGGGTTTCAAAAAGGCAATAGACCGTAAAACAAAAAACAGACATCTGAAAAAGAAATAAAGACGGTTTGCTTAAAATAAACTGTCTTCTAAAGCTCAAAATAAAGGCCGTTCGGTTCCATTAACTGTCGTGACAAATGTTCTGCACGTTGGCTAGTCTAAAACAACTGACGTCTCCACGCATACATACGTCAAGACAGGTCAAACAAGCAACTTTTAAAAGGGCAACCACGTCATTATGTAATAAAAACCGACGTGGTAAGTAATTACAACGTCAAGCAGGTGCAGTGGTGGATCCACATAGGGGCAAGGGGGTGTCACACCCCAACCCTCGGATTTACAAAACCTTGGGTTAAGACGTGAGAGAGGTCGTATTTCTTTGGGTTGGTAGTAATGGAATGGTTTCATTATCTAAAATGAAGAACATTTCCCACCAAAGGATCAGTCCAATAATACAGACCACCTGCGGATCATCCCATCCCGTGCCTGACTATAAGCTTGATTTTTTTAGTAAGGGGACTAACCCTAAACACAAACGTCCTAGCTTGCTGCATGCATAGCTTGTTATAGTATATATTTTATTATATTAATTATATAGGAAGCATGAGGTGGATAACTTAAGCTTGAGGTGGCACCATTTCTTAGTTGCTTAAGGGACGTGTAAACATATAAGATTGTTGCATTGCTATCCAAGTGCTAGCTGGCTTTACTTCATCAAAATATGATCTCAAAACCAAATGTTAGCACTTATCTCCCACCTCCAAACATATCAACCAATGATATACTAATAGTTGCCGCCTTATCTCTAGTATAAATAGAGAGTTTCATGTACAAATGTTTACACATCTTGAAAAGGGCATGCATAGCTTGCTTAAGAAACGAGAAGACCATATTGGTAGAGAGAAAAAGAAAGAAAGAGAAAGAGAGAGTTGTAATAATATTCTTGGAGGAGTTAGAGGTCGGAGCTTGTGTTTTTCTTAACTTGGAGATAGCTTTGGAAATAAGGTAGGGGTTTCTTGGGGGCCTTTTACAGAGATTGATTTAATTAAATTTCGTGAGCATTATATTATGCATGGTATTGTTTGATTTACGTTCCTTGTATTGGGTGTTTACGTACCCTTAACTGTTTGAACAATGTGGGCATGATTATATGTACATTGGTGATATTTAAATGATTACATTGTTTTTATGAGATATGTGAACTATATAATGTCATGGAAATTATTTGGAGTTCTTGGGTTGAGAAAAATAATGGTGGAAAAAGAGGGTAATGGAAATAGTCTTTTGTGTAGTTGAGTCTAACTCTTGGCAGGTACCAGGTCTCAGGGATCTCACAGTGCACATGATTTTTATTGGGTGATTCGGGACTGGCGAAAGGGAGTTAGACAAGATGACTAACAAAAGGGGAATTATGGGACAGTTCAAATGGGTGTTAGTTCATATAAATGGGCATTCAGGACCAAGTGGTAAAAGCATGGTATGGGATGTGCAGGTCTGCATGTCCAATTATATGAATTAACGGGATTAGATGAAGAGCATTCATGCATTGTTACTAATAATGTGATATTTGGTTGCATGATTGCATGTCACTTAATTTACTTATATCAATCTACTGTGGTAAGGTCTCATATCCCTACTGAGCTATGGTTGCTCATCCCTCACCCAGTTTAACTTTTCAGATGAATTAGTGGGCAAGACGAGGACTAAATCGATTGAGGCTGAATTAAATGAGAGTAGTAGGGTTTTATTTATTTCTTGTAAAGTTGTAAGATTTTGGAGCTATTTTTATAAGAGAAGTTTATTTTAAACCCTATTTCAGCTTTCTTTTTATTTTATTTTCTCACGCGCCGGGTGCGGGATTTTCACCTACCCCCGGGTCCGGGGCATGACAGGGGGTCAATTGACCCCCGCAAGCCAGGAATCTGCCATAGAAACCCAAGAACTTAACCCCTGCAAATGCCCAGAAGATGTTTGATGAAATGCCCCAAAGAGGGAGCAGCCATAGCCAAGAGCAAGCAAGTTTGCTTGTTGCCCAGTGCACGCGCGAGGAGCCCAGTGGGTAGAAGATGTTCAGGGTGTGGGAAAGAGAGGCTTTTAGGTGTTGTATCAAACTCCGGTCTGTTTTTTTCTCTGCTGGTTTGTGGAAGAGAAGTCCCTTTTGGCATTTCCATTATACTCAAACTGGCTCATGGCTTCTTTTTTTTGTCTGAAAAACTGGCTCATGGCTCAACGCATAAAATCATTAGTAGATACGGATTTTGTTTTTTTTTTTTTTTTTTTTTTTTTTTTTTAATTCCAAGATAAGATGGGTGTTTTTTTTTAAAACATAATAATAATATAATAAAAGTTCCAAAGCATAATTAATTTCTTCTTAATGCCTCGGTAAATAATGAAGTTTTTTTTCATTAAGCAAGCAAGCACACATTATTAAAATATAATAATTAAAATATTACCTCATTAAAAAACAAGTTAACAGATTAAATAGAAAGAAAAAGTTTTTGACCACATATAAAGTTTTTGATCGAATATATGGAGTAGAACAAATGGATGTGTGACTCGAGGTGGAAAGTCAGAAAACAAGGAGTGGAAAAACACGAAGTAGAAATCACGGAGCTAAAGTCATGTATGTACTGAGAATTTTATTTTGATTGAACCTTTATCGGTGGATTAAAGAAGATAATGGGTGTGTGAGCTCAAGTGATGAACCCCAAGAAGCGATGCGTGAAAACCCAATAGAGGATATCGAGAGGACCAAACTAAAGTCTCATGCAGTGGAAAAATGAAGCTTTAATTTCTTTACTTTAGAAGTGAATGGTCTGGTTGATATATTGTTGTTGTTGTTTTTTTTTTTTTTTTTTTTTTTTTTTTAATTGTAATTTTATGGTTTTTTCTATTAATTAAGAATTATAATATTATCGTTTCATTTTTTTTGGTTCTATTTTGTATAGATTTTTTTTACCTTTTAGATGTTGACCCCTGCAAGGAAAATTCCTGGATCCGCCACTGAGCAGGTGGATCTCTAGACGTAGTGAAGTAATTAACCACGTCCTTTATTTTAAAGAAACGGACGTTGAATCTATAATCCACGTCGGTTATGTTCCTATCCACGCCTTCAATACTATTATAACGTCAGCCTTTGACATAAACCGACGTGGGAGTGAATTTTGTACATTGATATTGAGTAATATTCTGTCATTTTAAATATATTTTAGACGTCGGTTATTTAGAAAAAGTGACGTCTAACTCTGTCAAAGAGCCTTTTTTGTACGATTTAAACGACGAGTCTCGCAAAACACAAATGTGGAAACGAGTTAACATGATGGTTTGTATTATAGTTCGCGACGTGGATAAATACATAAGAGTCGGTGATGCCTGGTGCAGGACGTGGTTATGTTATTTTACGGCACTTATTAAAAGACAAATGACATGTAATACCTTTAAACGTCTGTTTGGTGTTGCGTGTACGTCGTCGTTTATGGTTCACACGTCGGTTTTTTTTTTTTTTTTTTTTTTTTTAATGTTAAAAATTAACAACGACGGTTTTCTAGCTTATCCAAGTCTTTTTTCCTTCATTTAGACACGTGGATAATTATCTGTACGTCGGTTCTTCTTTTGATCTTGACATGTAACAACCTTTAGACGTCTCGGTTTTCATAAAATTGTCATCTAATGTTGTTGAAGATTTCATTTTAGGCTAATTATATGGTAATTACACGTCGGTCAGTAATAAATATGGACGTTTTATTCCTTAACAATGTCGGTTATTAACCGTCGTTGTTGTTAGTATAAAAGATGGCAGTCGATTTCACAACGATTTGAAAACCTTCTACACGACGGTGGTTTCCCGTCGTCTATTTCGATTTTTGTAGTAGTGAAATAAAACAAATAGGGAAATAAAAAAGGAACTTGTACTCTTTAACATACCTGCATGAGGAGCATTTGGCAACCACCCTGTAAGAAAAGCTTCCTCCTTCCAACCTTATCAACTGTGAGAATTGAGACAAATGTAGCTAAAGCATTAACCAGATTGGTGATGACAGCTGCCATGAGAGAAGCACTGCTTCCAAACCCCATTGTTTTGAACAACACAGGAGCATAAAACGTGATGACGTTCGTGTCGGTGAGTTGCTGGAAGACGGGGATGCCGATTGCAAACACAAGCTGGGGTCTATATTTCCTGCTCAACAAGGTAACCCATGGGTGTTTTACCAACTTGGATGCTTCATTGGCTGCAACTAGGTCATTAAACTCCTCATCAACATTAGGAACTCCTCTGAGCTTAAGAAGCTGAGCTTTGGCTTCCTCATGCTTGCCACGCTCGACTAAGGAGCAGAACCGGTCCATTGATTTTGGAGGCCCTGTGCAAATATGGATGTCGAGGCCCTATATATACAAGTAGGAAAAAAAAAAATCCATATAGAAACAAAAATTTCTGACATGGAAAGAACACATTCGGAAATAGCTTCTCAGAAAAATTTCTTTAGTCATCCTTCCAAATCACAGAGTTGATAAATTGATTTTCCAATTTAAATGTTTCGTGAATTCTCATGTGAATAAGGGAGGGAGAAAAGAACTGTGATTTTGGGAAAAGGGCTAAAGCTTGGGTTTTTACAATCCAAATTTTGATGGAAGATGGTGGTACACTGGTACTGAAGAGAAATGGATTTATTTTGATGGAGGAGAGTGAGAAAGACTTGCTGAAAGAGAAAAGAATATTAGAATGGTTTTGCAGCTTGAGAGTCAGGAAGAGGAAAAAATAGGTTTCAAACCATAGTAAATAAATAAAAAGAAGAGTTGCAGTGTGAGAGTTAGGAAGAGGAAAATGAATTAAATTAGGGCATCTACTCTCTAAGTCGTAGAATTTGTTGATAATTAATATTCAATTCAATTTTGGTTTTGGTGCCTTGCATGTGGTGTTGTGGGGTGATATTTAATATTTCATTTTTATTTTCATGTTTTAGTTAATTTAATGGGTTGACTTGGAAAAATTTAGAGGCCCCTAAATTTTAGGGGCCCTGTGCGGTCGCACACCTCGCACACCCCATGGGCCACCTTTGCCAAGGAGTTTGGTGTATCAGGTAAAAACAATGCTCCAACTATGATTATAATGGCAGGGACTGTAGCACCTCCCAAACTCAAACGCTATCCCCCACCGCCTTTGATCTTGGCAAAGAAATAGTTAAGCACACCAACAGTAAGGATTCCAATTGTGATCGACAATTGGAACATCATATTGAGAGCACCACGGTATTTAGATGGGGCTGTTTCAGAGACATAGATCGGCACAGACTACTCAAAAAGAAAAAGAAAAAAAAAGGAATTAGGGTTTGTAAAAAGTACACGAAATAACAAACTGAGAGTGCGAATAACCTAAAATCCATAAAGTATAATCTATGTATCAAAAAAGAAAATCATAATCATGGGTACCTGATTGGCACATCCAATACCAAAACCAAGAAGAAGACGACCAACATAAAGCATCCAAACAGCATTAGCAAAGGCATTGACCAAGGCACCAGCCAAGAAAAGAACTCCACCCAAGATCATTGTGAACCTGCGACCACACACTCTGGTTTCAGTTGATGCAAAAACGCATGCAACCAGAGCAGCCAAATATAGCGAAGATGTGAAAAGTGTAAGTGTCTGGCTATCAAATTTGCAGTACTGATCGTCGGAAGGCTTGATCGAAGACTCTTTCTGATAAACCGCTGGAAAGAACTGTTTCAAGAAAGAGTCCATGGATGTCACACCGCCTGCATAATCACCAAATCAAATTCGATGTTATGTATATTCTTATAAACAGTGCATGGTAATTCTAGAAATTAAAGGATGCATGCATACATAAAATAAAACTGGGTTGTGAAAAAAAGAAGTTACATACCTGAAACTCCAAGGTCGTACCCAAAAATCAGACCACGTAGCCGCAACAATACATGTTATAAGAACCCTAGCTGTGAGTTTACCAGGGTACTGTTTTCTACCACTCGATGGAGCTATACCGCCCCCAGCCATTGTTACCTTCTTCTAACTCTTTCTCTCTCTCACTCAAAAATCAATCTAAGAAAGCTAAGAAAACTACTTGAAGCAATAAAAACTGAACCAGAGAAAACGAAAAGAAAACAACTTGGAAGGGTCTTAAGCGTACAAAATTAGGTGGGTTTGATAAGGTATTTATAGTGCAAAACCTCCTGTGTCTAGCAGGATTACTAGTACTACTACTAGTTTGATAATGAGAGTCTATCAACCTAATCTTATCCGTATTTGTTAATCTAATTAAAATCCTAATGAGAGTCTATATTGTTATTGAGAGGACTGACAAACTTTGATTTTAATTAATGTATTCAAGTAATATTTTTGTTAGCTAATTTAAGGTGACGACTCTTTGGTCAAGTATTTATTCAAAAACTCATTTTAGTATGTCATTTTCTATTTATTTTGTTGGGTCGAAACTTGTCATTTTTTAATTGGTTTCTTAGAGTATTAAAATTTTATAAGAACCAGTTAGAAAATAACAAGTGGCTAGTTTTGGGTTTTTCACTCCAAATAGGCTCTATAAGGGCTTTTGTATATTATGTCATGCTAAAATGAGTTTATTAGTGAAATCCTCGATTTTAATCTTATCTACATTATATAAATTTTGCCATGGAACTTGCATTCTCATAAGTTGACATGCTTCCATTTCTCAAAATGTAACCATATTCTTATTCACTGTTAAAGGAAAATGTTAATCTATTAAGAGCTCTTTGACAGAGATTAGAGAAATAATGCTTTAATAATTTCAAATCACCATTCTTGTTTTTAGTGGTTCTCGTGTCTTGATAATATTTCTTTTTTTCTTCTACTTTAGCCAATAAACTTAACTTCATTACTTCAGTCACCATGAAAGTTTAAATTTATTTATTCTTTACTCCAAAACTTTCCCAAGTAACATGAAATGAAAATGAGATCCTACTTGATTAAATTAACACCGAGTTATTGACAAAAACAAGCAACTGGGCATGCACACACTCACATATAAGCATGTACAGAAAAATTGAAGTACGAATTTTAATGTCAATTATAGCAATTACACAATAAACTTCTCCTAAAAGGAAAAAAATTGAAAGAATTTGTCCATTACAAGAGAAGAAGAAAAAAATTGAATCATTTTAGTCCATCTAGTCATTCAAGCCAACTTAAAATAAAAATGAAAAGAAGGTATTCAAGCCAAGGTAAAGGATTTTCTCTAAGGGAATGAAATGTGTATTTTCTGAAAAGGGGTATGTGTCACGTATGCGAGGTTAGTTAATATTTTTCTTTCTATCAGACTTGTGGGGTTAGTTAACTAAAGAAATAAATAATAATAAAAAATAAAAAAAAGAAGAGATTTTCTGTGGTTGGGATGTAAAAAATAAAGTCACCTAAGCTGCCTATTAACTTTGGGCTATAAAAAATCAAGTCACCGAGGGTATAGCCCAGGTTAATTTATGAAATTAATTAAAATACTTGAATACTAATTATTCATAAAATAAAGAACAATTAAAACATAAATAATAAATAATTTAATTAAATAAGGCTAAGATCTTACTTAATTGCAAACAAACTAATTTTGTATAAAAATAAATAAATAACAAAGTCCACAAAATAATTTAAAATAATTTATTACAATTTATTAAGTAATTTATGAAATTAGTAATATTTAAATGCTAATTATTCACTAAAGAAATAGTAATTAAAATATAATTACTAATTAAAGTATTCGAACAAGTAAATAAAAAATAAATAAAAATAAAAAACGATGTTGTTCAGTATAGCCATTTAAATGATCAAACAAAAGATTCTATAGAAGGTACAAACCTTGATGGAAGCATTTACTGCAATGCTACAAAAGAAGAAGAAAAAAATGAACCATCCATCTAGCCATTTTAGCCAACTTGGAAAATAAAATGAAAGGGTGTTCAAGCCAAGATAAAGGATTTTCTCTAAGATAATGAAATGAGTGTTTTCTGAAAAGGGATATGTGTCACGTGTATGGGCTATAAAAAAATCAAGTTTGGGCTATAAAAATCAAGTTACCTAAACTATAGCCCAAGTTAGCCTGGACGTAAGACTTTCCTGGTTATGGGACCTCGCGATTTCTGCACATCATCTGCACTTGCCCAAACCTTCCCCCACTCTCTCTCTCTCTCTCTCTCTCTCTCTCTCCTCTCTCTCTCTCTCTGATAAGAAAACATGATAAAATGATTTTTGTATATTAATCTTTGCACAAGAAGTATACAATTATATAGTAGCCAGGAAAAGACAAGATAGTAAGTCTAAGGAATTTACATTGAGGAAAGAATCTCCAGAATCAACGTCAAAGGTAAATTACATGCGTAATTGGAAAAAAGAAACAATAGTGTAATCAAAGTAAATAAGCTCCTTTCCTTATAGGTAATCCCGATAATTAGTCTCCAATCAATCTTGACAAAAGTCTTCCTTGTATCATGGCTTTGATTCTAATTTCCATACTCCTAAAGTTGGAGCGTGAATGTCTAAAACGCTTAACTTGGACCGTAATCGTAAAAAATCTTCTTTCTCCAATACTTTCATAAAAATGTCTCTAATTTGATTGTTGGAAGGCAGAAACGCGGTTTGTAACAAAACATCTTGGATTTTCTCACCAACAACATGACAATCAATTTCAATGTGGTTGGTTTTTTCGTGATAAACCAGATAATGCAACTTTGTTGTCACAATAGAGTATAATGGGAAATGAGTGTGGCACCTTAAAAATCTTGTAAAATATACCATAACCATTGGAGCTCACAAGTAGCTACAATCATAGCTCGATATTCAACTTCTGCAGAATATCTAAATACAATAGGTTGTTTTTTTTGTTTATGCAAATATGTCTGGGTTTTCTTTGATGACATATTAGTTTATAGCATAACTTTATTTGAGCATATTATACACTTGGCTCATGTTTTCGAGGTACTAAGAGTTCATCAGCTGAAGGTGAAGTTCTCAAAATGTTCATTTGTTCAATACTCTGTGGCATATTTGGGACATGTCATATTTGCAGCTGGAGTGGTAGTGGATCCAATAATCAAAGTGCAATCAAGGGCGGAACCACACTGAGGGCTACAGCCACTGTAGCCCAGTGTGGTTTTTTAAGAAAAAAATATAAAATTAATATATTTAACTTATTTTCAATATTAGCCCAGTCAGTGGCGCTGTACAGATTACCTTATTTCCATTTTCAACATTTAAGTAAATGTCTTTGTCATTTTACTTTTATTTATTTTTATATTACTCCATTTACTTAAGTTTACGATGTAAATAAGGAAGTACTCCTCATTTGGATTCAAATAAAAATACTAGAAAATCAAATTCCTACCAAATCAAAATATGAAAAATCAGTTTTAGTGCCAAATACGATTTATGCTAAAAATGATGGCTCATTAAGTCAATATATACTTCATACTAAAATCCCATAAAATCAAGTTTTTTTATTTGATGTGTGAGGAATAAAAGCCGCCAAAAATTATCTTGAGAAAATGATTATTTCGAAAACCCATTTTTCATACTTAGTCAATATTTTTACATAAAATAACTTTTCATCTATAATATGAATGCATGAAAGAACCTAAGGTCAATCTAGGTAAAAAAATCTTAGATGTTCAATCCACTATGGTGTTAAACCCTATTTGGTTTATGTTAAAACTTATTGAAAATTAGTCTATGAAGCTATGAACTAGATTGGTTTATATGATTTAATGTTTACTTTTATTTCTAGAAAGACTATAGAAATTGTAAGTAAAAAAAAAAAAAAAAAAAAAAAAAAAAAAAAAAAAAAAAATAATTAAAACTAAATTTTAAAGCTATAACTTTAGCTTTAGCCCGCTTGAAATTGAATTTCTGATTCCGTCCTTGAGTGCAATGTATCGAGGAATGGCCTAAACCCACTACCATTAAGGGGTTGAGAGGCTTTTTGGGACTAACCGGATACTACATGAAGTTTGTACAAGGTTTTGGCCCGATAGCCAGGTCACTTATATGCTGCACAAAGATAATTTTGCCTGGACGACAGAAGCCGAGTCAGCATTTCTGAACCTCAAGGCTGCTCTCATGACTACGCATGTGCTAGCCCTGCCGGATTTTTCCATGTTATTTGTGGTTGAGTGTGATGCATCTAATGTGGGAATTGGTACCATTCTTTCCCAGGACAAACATTCAATCGCTTATGTGAGTAAGGCTATCTCAGATAAGCATAATAGCCTATCTGTGTATGACAAGGAGATTATGTCAGTTGTATTTGCAGTTCAACACTGGAGACCATACCTCATCGGCTGCCATTTCAAGATCTTGTCGGATCATCAGACCATCAAGTATTTTTTGGAGCAGCGAATCACCTCTCCAACATAAGAAAAGTGGTTACTGAAATTGCTGGGGTATGATTATGAAATTGATTATCGTTCTGGTACCCAAAATGCAGGGCCAGATGCCTTGTGTCGCAAACCGGAATTGTTGGCCATCATGGGGTTATCCACACCCATTTTTGATAGTCTATCACAAATAAAAGATGATTGCCTCAACGACACAGAAGCTATGAACATTATTCAGGCTTTGCAAACCCAAGCTCCTACTAAACCATATTTTTCTTGGCAGAACAATTGCCTCTTTTACAAAAACAAAATAAATGTTCCCCCTACTTCAATGGCCCAAATTTTGCTCATAGGATAAAATGACCTACTCATAGTATAAAATTCCCCATATTGGATATTATGATATCTAAAGTTAATATATGAATAACTATAATTTCTAACCGAGTGAGTGTAAGAGCATCCACAATGGGCTCCCTAAACCATCTCCTTAGACAAATTTTAGAGAGAAATTATAAAAATGCAACTCCAACCATGCTCCCTATCCACCTCCTAAAATAGGGAGTCCTCTATGAGCTCCTAAATCTAAAGAGAGAGAGAAAGGACTCCTAGTGTCTCTCTATAATTTAATACTGTTTTATTTAATGAGTATTTCAAATCTTTATTTAATGCTAACTATTTTTTATTTTATTTTTTAATGGAGATTGACTAATCAAAAAAGAGTTATAGCATTTATGATTCTCCAAATTATGGAGTATGGTTAGAGTTGAAATTTTTTAGAGAGCTCCTAAAATAGTTTTCTTGTATTTTTAGCTAAATTTCAGCTAAGAAATAGAAAATATCATTGTGGAGAGTGAGAAAATCAGCTCCCTATATTAATTACTATTATCACCAGTTTATCTTATTAACCTAATTCATAATGGCTGACAAATTGAATAATGTCGAAGCATGCATGCATGAATAATAAGTTGAAAACCCAACTTCACCCCTAAGTCCAAAGCCCAACTTCACATTTAATTAGGTTCAAGCCCGAATAATAACCCTACCTCTCTCCCACTCAACGCACCGTTCTTCTGTTTCAGCCGCCTCCCACCGTTCTTCTCTCCCTCTTTCTTTCTTTCTTGACAGAGTTTGAAAGGAAAAGTAAGACTGAAGGAGCACAAGTAGCGTGAGCTTCTTCTTCGTCCTCAGGCGTGCTGCGCTGCTTCTTCTTCCTCTCAGGCAAACCAGCGAGCAGTTGGAGGGCATTCCTTGTGGTCGTTCAATCGGCTCAGTTGGACCTCTAAGCCTATTTCCATGGCTTCCGTGGGGTCGTCGACGGTGCAGAAAGCTGTAAATGCCCTCCTCAAATGGCGAAACTCCAAGTTGCAGACCGAGAAACCCGATCTCTTAGAATCCGACGAGTTCGCCTATCTCGTTCTCACCCTCAAGAAAATCCCACCAAAGGCCCGCGTAAACGCTTACAAAGTCCCTCTCCCAAATCCCCTTCATTCCCAGCTTTCCGAGCTCTGCTTGATATACGACGATGGGCCCAAGTCCAATCTCACCAAGGACTTCATCCAGAAGAAAATCAAGGCCGAGAATATACCCATCTCGAAAATTTTGAAGCTTTCGAAGCTCAAGACTGCTTACGTGCCCTTTGAAGCCAAGAGGAAGCTGTTGCATTCTTATGATATGTTTTTGGTTGATAGGCGTATTGTGCCTTTGCTTCCGAAGTATTTGGGGAAGCAATTTTTTAAGAAGAAGAAGATTCCGGTGCCTGTGGACTTGGAGCACAAGAATTGGAAGGAGCAGGTTGACAGGGCATGTGAGTCGGCCTTGTTGTTCTTGAGTACCGGGACGTGCAGCGTGGTCAGGGTAGCGAAGGTGTCCATGAGCATTGATGAGATTGTGGAGAATGTGGTTGCGGCGATTAATGGGATTGTGGAAATTCTGCCTAAGAAGTGGAGGGATGTGAGGTCATTTCACTTGAAGTTTCTGGAGTCACTTGCATTGCCGGTTTACCAGGCCGTGCCGGATTTGACATTGAAAATTGAGGGAGCTAAGAGTGATGAGGAAGGTAAGGAGGCAGTGAAAGAGGTTGTCAAGTCTGAGAGTAAGGGTTTGAAGAGTGACAAAGTGAGTAAGAAGAAGGGTAGAATTCATGAAGTGAGGTATATGGATAGCAATGCTGGTGAGGTGCTTGACGATGATGAATTGGTTGGTGATGGGGATATTGGAGAAGGTAAGCAAAGTGAGAATGAAGAACCGGGTAGTGGTGAATTGGGGAAGAAGAAGAGGAAGAAGGAAAAGGTTGTTGGTGAGTGTAAGGGTGACAAAAGGTTGAAGAAGTCAGCTAAGGTAAAAGATGATGCTGAATTGAATGGTGAAAAGGTTCTCGGTGAGTATAACAATAAGAAACAGTTGAAAAAGTCGACTAAGGGGAAAGATCGAGACGATGATGTTCCTATTGAGAAACGGTTCAAAAAGTTGGCTAAGATGGTAGATGAAGATGTTGCCACTATCAAGCATAAAAAAGACGGGGTGTCTTCGAAAGGGAAGAAAAAAGATGTTACAAAGAAGAAAGCAGATGATTTGCCAGTCAAGGGCGAAGAGTCTGTTGGAAAGAAGGAGAAGAGGAAGAGTGAACATGAGAAGTTGAGGAGCGGAGAAGCAAAGCTGAAGACGACTAAGAGAATTAAGAAAGCAACAGAGTAATTCAGCATAGTGGTCTACAGACGGTAAACAATCTTTGCAGCGGGATTCAATACATCCGAGCAAGTATGGCTGTCCATGTTGAGTCTGTCTGGCAGAAATTTTGTTTGTTTAGTATTTTATTGTGGTATTGATGTTATGATCTTTTGCTTAGTTTATGAATTGACATTGCCTATTTACTTTATGTCTTCGTTATGACGATCATACAAAATGGTTATTTTTCCATCCTGGTTTTGTGCATGTGCTTATATCTGAATTTTGAACTAAGATTGTGTCACGATGAGTCTATTACTTCCTTCGTGGGTGAATTTGCATCTCCGTTTCCAATAAGAGGGTGAGACCTTGAAACTTCAACAAATGATTTTTCTCAAAAACAATCTCTGTTGAATTTTTGGGAGTTTGTTTCCTTATTTGCAATTGGTAGCAGTTACAAATGATCTGGAGAAATAATGGCAGAATTATGACAACTAATTGAATTTATTTATTTATAGCTCATTCCATTAGTCACTTGGTGATTGACAAATCACTTATGATTAGAGCATGCATAATTCAAGCATATTAACAGGTCACTTGATGATGTGCTAAGATCATCACAGCATCTCATTGGAAAGCTGTCTCCAATCCTCAAGGTAACTGCTTTTGGTTTTCTCATTTAGTGCACAAATTTATTCCTCTTCCTTTGTTGTTGCAGTTGTTTTGGGTTGTTCTCTGGTCCCAAATGATGATTTTTTATTCTTCTTTTATCTTTCTTCTGTAAGATTTTATAAAAAGGAAGAAGGAAAGATTCCAATTTTTGGGTCCTTTTGAAATTTACATTTCCAGCAAGTTTTTCTCTTGTTCCATATGGGTGGGTATATATCTTTATTGCTTAGGTAATTTTGATAACCCTACTGGATGCTGAGCCATGTTGCATTCGGAAATCTGAATTTTTGGTGTTTAATGGGTTCTATTAGCATTATTCCAAGTATTATGAATCTTTGTTGTACGAGTCACTGTTGCAAAGTGTTTTTGGTTTCTTGAGTTAATGGTTTGAGAGAGAGATAAATCACACTTTGCAATTACAAATCAAATTCCAATGTGATAGTAGCTCCTTTGCCTTTGAATTCAAAACTCTGTGACATGCTAATTTCATGACTGAAGGCACAAAGAACTTTAGGAAACATAGACCCTTCCCTAATAATTTCTACAACACTGGTCCCTAATAATTTCTACAACACTGGAGCTCCCCTTTTCATCTACCTGCATCAAAGCATGTAGTTTGAAAACAAGGTGAGAAGGAGCAGTGGAAATTAATATCTGCCCCAAGGACGTCCGATACAAATAGCTCTGCAAAATTTAAAAGGGGAGAGATATGTATCTGCTAAGGACCTCCAGGCCACCTCTTGGCTACCCTTATGTACAAGTGATATGGTAGGATCACTGTTAAGACTAGAATTAATTACCTTGACTGTAATAATAATGGAGAACAAATGCATCTTGTCAATAGTATTCAACTTGAAATGAATAGTAATGGTGTACGGTGTTTTAAGAGATAAGAATAGTTGCAACGAGCTTAGTGCCAGTGCTTTTTTCCCTTTGTCTTTCCTGGAGGTGGTTCTTGGTACAGAGTAAATGGCATCAGATCAGAAACTGAAGTAACCTGATTAAATTTGTCAGGCTTCAATGTTTTTCTGACGAAGTCGTCCATAGGCTGGTAGAGCTGAAGGAATAAGAGGTTAAGTCTAGAGGTGCCACACCTGAAAACTGATGCCTTGATTAAGATAGATTCCTATCAGTCTTGGTTCCCCTGTTCTCGTTGTGTGTTTATATGGTCTTGTAGGGAAATGGGAGATGTTAGGCTTTAGTCGTGGCACTGTTTTTATTTACAACTGAAACTTGAAGAACAACGTTGCTCGGAGATTTTCATGTGAATTGTGAGTGAGAAAATAGATGGCTACAAACCTGATAAATGAATGTTGCAAACCTCGGAGTTATTTCATGAAAGGCATCATTGTTTCCCTCTTAAGTGTGGCTGGAAAGTTGGTTTGGGTGCATTTGGCTTTTTGACTGTTGTATGGGCTGCAGATTGTGCTTTTGTTAAATTTGAGGAAATAATATTTTATGTTTATGGTAATTGAAAATTTCTCTTACTCAATTCTTTTGTCTTCAATGCCAGGGTTACCGTAGCAGTGATGCATGCTTTATGGAATTTGAACGGTTCAAGTTTCATACAGGAGCGAGCTCGCAATTATGCACATCACTGCTGGAGCACATAAAGCGATTAGTGGTGTGTGGAGTAGGAAATGAAGCTATTGGTCCATTGATCAATGACTGAATATGCAATAATATTAGTTACTTGTTAATTGGCTA